AATTTCCAACACAACAACGCACATAAAACTCTCACACTGATACACTAAAAAAAAATTTAATAGCCTCACCCTTTTCTCATCTCTTTTTTGTATACGTGTAGACCGACGCAACGGAGGTGGACGATCTGGTATAGAATCTTGTGGTCCAGTTTCCATATTATAGTGATATTATTATATGTGAATGAAGAAGTGGATTTTTTGTTTTTGTTGTGATTGAGATTTTTTTTTTTTGAATAATGATGGTGATGATCTTTATAAATAATATATATTGTATAGTGGTGTAACAGTCAATAAAAATAATAATGAATAATATAATATTTAATATTGATTGTGTGTGTCTCTTGCTCTTTCTTTTTTCTTTTATATATAAGATTTTTCAAAAATTCACATACATATACACTTGCACACTAATTCAAAATTTTCTCTTGGATGTTGTTTTATTGAATTTTCTCCTTTTTTGCCTTTTACTTTCTCTCGCTTTTTTTGATTTCTATATGCAGATATTATAAAACTAATTTATATCTTCTATAAATAATATAATGTATGTATTATACGTGCAAATATAGATGTATATATATGACAAGCTGTATAAATATAAAAAATATACAAAGAAAATGAATGAATGAATAGAATATTAGTTTTTTTCGAAATAAATATGAAAAGAAAATTTTTTTTAGAAAAAAAAAGATTTTGAAAAATATTATTATTTATAATAATAAATGATGAATATCACTAATAAATGTATATAATTAATAATATAAATAATAATATAAATAATAATAAATAATGAATTATTCTCAGCCGACTAAGTTAATTAGCTTAGCTTATGTATATATATTTAACAATATAATTTTAGTAAGTACATCTAGACCCTATATATATATAAAGGTATAAAGATGGAAAAAATTTTAATCGCAAAATATTTTTCTTTCTTGCAAAAATTTTACAAATCCAATAACTCTACCACCACTATATTCCTAATTACTAATATTGCAAACCAAACAATATTTAATTACAAGTAGCTAACAATAATGTTAAAAAAAAAAAAGAACGCGACCAAAGCTTTATAAATATTTATTGAAAACACACGTACCTATATAAAGTAATAATAATATTACCAAGTGGGTTATTATAATATAAGATATTTTCTAAGTATTATTTATTCTCTATATGACAACAATAAATAATAAATAATAAATAATAGTAATAATAATAAATTTTTTTTGAAAAGAAGAAAATATTTTGAATGATAAAGAAAGAAAGAAAGAGAGAAGAGGAAGAGGAAATAAGAGAAGAAAGAAAAGGGTGAGGCTATTAAATTTTTTTTTAGTGTATCAGTGTGAGAGTTTTATGTGCGTTGTTGTGTTGGAAATT